ATTATATTGTTGAGTTGTATAGCTTTAGAAGTTTGCAAAGTTGGTGGGGTGCGTCACTCGCTTGTACGCGTCACTCGCTTGTAAACTACGTTAGTAGTTTACCATTTTTGATGGCGGCTTAGTGTCTGGCTATTTCAGTTCTGCGAGAGTCACGGTCGTCACATTAGGACGGCAATTGATGCGGAGACCCCACGCCCAAGCAATCGTCGAAATGGCATGGCTACAACGTGTGCCCACGCAAAGCCGCGACGCGTTCTGTCAGGGAGCATTGGACCATTGGCACCTGAACGTCACCATTGTCCTGACATGTGATGCCCTCGGCGCTGTGGATCCTTGTCCTGCATGGAACAACAATTGAGCCGCCCCACGTGAGCCTTCCCAATCCGGCATACCTCGGTATCTTGGTGAATGACGTCTGCCCTCAACCAGCAAGTCAGCCGCTCATAGGCCAGCTCCACCAATAGCAACGCCCCTAAATCCACGCACAAGATCACACGAGAGCGGTCGCAGTACCCCAAACGCGCTATTCACGGTCGGCCTTCAGCTGATGGCATGCTTCCCCGGATTCCTTGGCGTGGAGTAATTGCGAGCATGTGAAAGTAGCGCGAAACCATGCTAATCCTCTTATAAGCCTAGAAGTGTCTCCATCGTCGTCTTGTGATCCTTCTTCCTTCATCTTTTTGCTTTTCATCCCTTCGTCTTGCTCCCCCTTTGTATTCTCAATCTAGAGAAAAATGGCGAAGCGCTTCTCTACCGCCGATGTCGCGTCGCACAAGACTGCGAACGACCTGTGGATCATTGTAGACGAGGATGTCTACGATCTTACCAAGTTCCAGGATGACCACCCTGGCGGCAAAAAGAGTACGCTGAGCCCTATCTTACGGATTCCGCGGTCCAAGCTAATGATTTCAAGTCCTCCAGCGAGTAGCTGGCAAGGATGCTTCAAAGCAGTTTTGGAAGTACCACAACGAGAGCATTCTGAAGAAGTACCAGAAGCAGCTGCTAGTCGGATCACTCGACACCAAGGCTGCTCCTCCAGCTCCTCCCGCGGCTGCTGCTCCAGAGAAGAAGGAGATTGTTAAGCCAGAGGCAAATCCCGGAGTCGTTGCACCTCAGCCAACTCAAGCTGCGGAGGAGTCGGAGCCTTTCGACTCCTATGGTGACCTCGTCCCATATGCGGACCCTTCGTGGTATCAAACTGTATGTCCACAGATGCGCCTTTCAATGATTCCCATGAGCCTCGGCTAACACAAAGATCAGTATCACTCTCCCTACTACAACGAGACGCACGCCGCCTTACGCGCAGAAGTCCGCGACTGGGTTGAGGAGAAGCTCATGCCATACGTCACAGAGTGGGATGAAGCAAAGAAGGTACCAGATGAGATTTTCCTCGAAATGGGAGCACGGGGATACCTCGCTGGTATGCTGGGCGTCAAGTACCCTACACAATACACCGACCTGAGGGTCAACAGCGTACCACCAGAGAAGTGGGATCACTTCCATGAGATGATCATCACCGATGAAATATCAAGGACGGGCAGTGGTGGTCTCGTCTGGGGCTTGATCGGTGGATACGGAATCGGCGGACCGCCTCTGTTCAAGTTTGGCAAGAAAGAGCTTGTCCAGCGCATTGGTCCCGATCTGCTTAGCGGAAAGAAGAGGATCTGTTTGGCAATCACCGAGCCAGGTAAGTCCCCGCCTTTTGTATCTAGAAAGTTGAAATTGACATTCCCACAGATGCCGGCAGTGATGTCGCGAACCTGACCTGTGAAGCTAAGCTCTCCGAGGATGGCAAACATTACATTGTCAACGGTGAGAAGAAATGGATCACAAACGGTATCTGGTCCGACTACTTCACCACCGCTGTTCGTACTGGCGGCGAGGGCATGAACGGTATTTCAGTCCTTTTGATTGAGCGCAGCGCAGGTGGTGTTTCTACGCGTAAGATGGACTGCCAGGGTGTGTGGAGCAGTGGTACCACCTACATTACCTTTGAAGATGTCAAGGTTCCTGTCGAGAACCTCATTGGAAAGGAAAACCAGGGTTTCAAGGTCGTCATGACCGTAAGTCAATCATTTGAATCGCCTTGAGATGCCCACTAATCATCATCTAGAACTTCAACCACGAGCGTATCGGCATCATCATTCAATGTCTCCGCTTCTCTCGTGTATGCTACGAAGAGAGCATGAAGTACGCACACAAGCGCAAGACCTTCGGCAAGCGTCTCATCGACCACCCCGTCATCCGTCTCAAGCTCGCGCACATGGCTCGTCAGATTGAGGCCAGTTACAACTGGATGGAGAACCTCATCTACCAGTGCGAGAAGATGGACGACATGGAGGCTATGCTCAAGCTTGGAGGTGCTATTGCCAGTTTGAAGGCCCAGAGCACAACAACATTTGAGTTCTGTGCCAGGGAAGCAAGTCAAATCTTTGGTGGTTTGAGTTATAGTAGAGGCGGACAGGGCGCCAAGGTCGAAAGGCTATACAGGGATGTCAGGGCATATGCTATTCCAGGTGGTAGTGAGGAGATTATGCTTGACTTGAGCATCAGGCAAGCTTTGAGGGTACACAAGGTCCTGGGCATGAAGCTGTAAATGCCTTTAGCATGGCGGGACGTGTCTGTAACAAAATATTCTATGTAGACCAAGTTTCTTACATATTTCAATTCAAGTAACAATAAGTCTTTCAAATTGTTAGTTGTCCAAGTCATGAGGATGCGTACATGTTATGCCGGCAGTAAGTCGTCCCACGCGTTGGCCTCCCCACTGTGGAGGCCCCACAAATTCCAACCTTAGCAACGGCAGTTGCTTCCCAACTGCCGTTTTTGTATAGTGTACGCTGTGATTTCTCATAACAGAGTGCCAATCTTCTTTACCCATACGACGGATAAATGATACGCAAGAGGCAGCCACTCAACTCGGCTCAGGCGATTGCGTGAAGCATAAGAAGCACATTGCGATGCGGGGTCAAAGGCATCTTGATCAATTCAATGGCGATCCAAGTCGTCAGCCAAGATATCTGGATGGATTTGTACCAGTTGGAATGGATGAGGAATCTGTGTCGGCTACATCGTATACTTGATAGCTGCAAAGTATGTGGGGTATACAACTCTGTCGTCTAGACCCAGGAGCAAGAGTGACATGGCTTAATCTAGGACTAATCGATATTTCCAAAGAAAAGACATGCCGAGTTTCATCGTAAGAAGGCTCAATCAACGAGTCCCTGAGCAGAAGATCCTTCACCATGTCTTTGCAGCGTGGAGTTGATTTCGATATAAATTGCCCTCGTACAGACTATTGTATGTGACAGCTTTTGTCAAAAGAAACCTCATAGCAAAACCATCACACCAGTTCCTCTAAGACGTAACAAAACTATGGCTTCATCAAACGATATATTTCGCAAGGTCGAGTGGAATGGGAAGCAAGTCCCAGTCTACCCCATGGAGACTATCGACTTCTCTGCACTCCTATCTCAGGAGCCCGCGGAACTCGAGAAGCTCCTACAATGCTGCAAAGACGAAGGTTTCTTCTACCTGGACCTCAACAATGTTGACGGACGCCGATTTCTTGATGATCACCAGGAGCTTCTGAAGCTCATGCACAGGTTCTTCGAAGCTCCGATTGAGGTGAAGAACGAGTATGGACTTATCTCTCCTCATCTCGGGTAAGCCCATAAACAAGACCCCTCCCTATAAACCTCCACAGTCACTAAGAGGTCCCAGTTACGAGCCCGTCGGTTCCCGCAACGGCGTCCTCGAAGACACACGCGACGGCTACGAAATGGTCAAAGTCTCTCGCGATGAGATCCAACGCGAATCTCCCCACATCCCACGCAACATCAAGAACAGCGCCGACCTAAAGACCCTCGAGAACGCCATCTCCGCCAACAACATCATCGGTAAAGTCATCCTGGCCGCTCTCTCCACCGCATCCAGTCTCACAGGCTCATCCCGCTTCGAGAATCTGCACCGCAACCACCGTCCCTCGACCAGCACTCTAGCCATGATGCACTACATCCCATCTGACCCCTCCAAAGACGGCAATGTCGGCCACCAAAAGCACACAGACATAAGCTCCCTCACCGTCCTCTTCACCGAACAATGGGGTCTCCAAATCCGACCACCAGGCACCAAAGAATTCGGCTTCGTAGAGCCCAAACAGGGCCAAGCTATCATCAACGTAGGCGACTCCCTACGCTTCGCCAGCGGTCACGAATTTCAATCGTGTATCCACCGCGTTGTGCCGTACAATTATAGTGAGCATAGGTACTCTGTTGCGTACTTTCTGCGGGCCGAGGACGAGACTATGTTTCGGGATAGTGAGGGGAGGTATGTTACGTCGCGCCAGTGGCATGACGAGAAGTTCTTGGCGTTTTTGGGGTCGCCGGCTGAGCAGGCGGCTGCGCCGAGGTCGTTGTTGCTTGGGGGGATGCATGAGGGTGAGGGGGATGTTTATGTGGCGCAGAGGGAGGTGGGTGTCGTTGAGGGTGGGGTCAAGGATGCTGTTGAAGTGTCTGCTGTTGAGGTGAGCGCTTAGGTGTTGATCCTTTTTTTTGTGCCTGACACGAATGGATGGTGAATGATTGGTTGTGAGGTGTGAATTGATTCCATATGATGTTTGCTATATGGATTATGGTCCACGATTGTGATCAACCGGACTGGGCCTGTTGCCAGTGACGGAATCCCACTTTGCATGATATCATATCTCCACCCATGCAAAGTGTTCTCTGTGACCCTGCACGATTTATATTTACATAGATTAAAGCATTGGAGCTGTTTCGTTCAACTTACCAGACCCGTATCTACTCATATATGCACGCTAATCTATTACTTAAGTAACTAACCCGCCGTTCCTTTCTTCCTTTGTTACCGCCCTCGCCTTCAAAATCGAAAATTATGTACCTCCTCTTAGCTCTGCTACTACCGAGTATCATTCAAGGATGTGAAAGAAAGCACCATCGCCGACACCACGATCGCCATCTGCTCCAGCGTGATACGACACCTATCTTCCCACCAACTCTGACCCCACAGGAACAAATTCTAGTATCGTCTTTTGACAATACTTCAATAGCGTCTTGGTCTAGTTACTACTGTAATTCTCACACCAATTATACAGCATACATCCGAAAAGACACTCATAAATTTTAGCTCACAGGCGAAATCTCGCGGGAGAAAGCAGCGCAGTGCCTCAATGGACAGCTTCAAAATGGGCCGAGTATGGTTTCGACACTAGACTAGATAGCTATCGTAAGTCCCCTTATGTCTTCATTCTCTGCTTTGATAAAAAAAAAGAAAATGGGCATATTCAGCCACTGACCACAAACTCAAAGACGTCTACCTAAACTACCCCATCCACCAATCCCTAGCACTCAAATACCCCAACGGAACCACCTACAACCTCACTCTTGAAGAACCTATCCTCGAAGAAGACCCTACAACCGGTTCTTCAAACCGCATCCCCGCATTCCACGGCTACTCCGCCTCAGGAAACGTATCAGCACCCTACATCTACATTGGTACACCCACCTCCCTCTCCTACCCCATCTCAACCCTCTAACAAAACCCCAACTAACCCAACCCCCCCAGGCCGCGCCACAACCCAAGATATCGAGCGGCTCCTCACCCACAACATATCCCTAGCCGGTAAAATCGGCCTAGCCAAACACGGCGGTCCCTTCCGCGGCACCAAACTCCGCAACGCGCAATCCTTCAACCTAACCGGCCTGCTCCTCTTCACCGATCCCGCCGACGACGGAGAAATGGCGCCACCGGCGTACGCACCGTACCCTGCTGGGCCCGCACGTAACCCGGGGAGTATACAGCGCGGTAGCGTGCTGGATCTGAGTAAGTATCCTGGGGATCCGACGACGCCGGGGCATGCGTCGAAGGAGGGGGTGGAGAGGATGTACATGGGGAGTTTGCTGCGGATACCGAGTTTGCCGTTGTCGTGGGGGGAGGCGAGGGGGTTGTTGGGGGG